TAGGCCTGTGAGCCATGGCCGCTGAGCCTGCGTGTCCGGAGCCTGTGCTCCGCAACGGGAGAGGCCACAACAGTGAGAGGCCCGCGTACCGCAAAAAAAAAAACAAAAAAACAAAAAAACAAAAACCAATCCGCCTGCCAATGCAGGGGACATGAGTTCGAGCCCTGGTCCAGGAAGATCCCCTGTGCCGCAGAGCAACTAAACCTTTGAGCCACAGCTACTGAGCCCACATGCCACAACTACTGAAGCCCGCGTGCCTAGAGCAACAAGAGAAGCCACCGCAATGAGACATCCGAGCGCCACAGCTTAGAGTAGCCCCCGCACGCTGCAACTAGAGAAAGCCCACGTGTAGCAACGAAGACCCAACACAGCCAAAAATAAATAAATAATTTTTAAAAAATTAATTATAAACCTCAGAATATTCTTTCCCCTAAAAATAAAGTGTGCTCTAAACCTCTTCTTAAAATTCCCCTGAAAGTAATAAATTCCCAATATATGAAAAATGGGTGAAACCTTAAATCAACGGACAAAGGATTCATCTCCAAAATATAGAAACAGCTCATGCAGCTCAATATTAAAAAAACAAACAACCCAATCCAAAAATGGGCAGAAGACCTAAATAGACATTTCTCCAAAGAAGATATACAGATGGTCAAGAAGCACATGAAAAGCTGCTCAGCATCACTAATTATTAGAGAAATGCAAATCAAAACTACAATAAGGTATCACCTCACACCAGTTAGAATGGGCATCACCAGAAAATCTACAAACAACAAATGCTGGAGAGGGTGTGGAGAATAGGGAACCCTCTTACACTGTTGGTGGGAATGTAAATTGATACAGCCACTATAGAGCACAGTATGGAGGTTCCTTAAAAATCTAAAAATAGGATTACCATATGATCCAGCAATCCCACTACTGGGCATATACCCAGAGAAAACCAAAATTCAAAAAGACACATGCACCCCAATGGTCATGGCAGCACTATTTACAATAGCCAGGTCATGGAAGCAACCTAAATGCCCATCAACAGATGAATGGATAAAGAAGATGTGGTACATATATTCAATGGAATATTACTCAGCCATAAAAAGGAACGAAATTGGGTCATTTGTAGAGATGTGGATGGATCTAGAGACTGTCATACAGAGTGAAGTCAGAAGGAGAAAAACAAATATCGTATATTAACGCATATATGTGGAACCTAGAAAAATGGTACAGATGGACCGGTTTGCAAGGCAGAAATAGAGACACAGATGTATAGAACAAACATGGTCACTAAGTGGGGAAAGCGGCGGGGGTGGGGGTGGGGGTGTGATGAATTGGGCGATTGGGATTGACATGTATACACTGATGTGTATAAAATTCATGACTAATAAGAACCTGCTGTATTAGAAAAAACAAAGTATTCAAGTCATCCAATGATGGAATGACCCAGTTGATTGTATGACTGATTTGACCAATAACAGCGATGTGAGTTTAAAAAAAAAAAAAAAAAAACCTGTTTCTCCACTTCATAATAAAACGTCTCTACCAAAAATGGAAAAATATGGGGTGGGGTGGGGTGGGGGGGATTATTATGCTAGAATGGCTTTCTTTTTAGAACACTAGAACAACCTCAGAATAAAGAAAAACAAGAGGGTGGAGACTCTTGATGTATACCAAAAATCAAAAGAACCTGAACGCCTAAGACCAGAGGCAGAAGGAATGAGCAAAGGTGGCAAGGTATGCCACATAAGGGAGGGGTGGGGAGTGTGGAAAACTAGAGCACACAGGCCCCGTGTCTATAGAGCAGGCTCTACTCAGCTCCTGGATTTTTCTGAGTTTTTATAGGAACTCAGAAATACAAGTTGTTATTTGAAATCTCATGATCTTCAAACGTTGGTGACTAACAGAAATTATGTTGGTAACACCCGGCATATGCAGATGTACATTTTGCTTTTAATTCCATAATTTTTTTCAATTCTATAATCTATAAGAGGAAAGAAAAGGGAAAGGGAAGAAAAGAAAAGAAAAACATGTACAGAAGAATTTTTTTTTAAGATTTCAGTTCCTCTTAGGAAAACAGACTGTGCTTGAGGGAGGGTGCCCCCTTCTATGCAAATACTACAAGCTGGAATGAATTATGGGGTCAAGGGTCAGGAATTTCTTTTCTTTACAGTTAAGGCAATTTCTCCTTTGCCAACTCCTGGCCATTCAGCCCAGGGAGTTTTAGATGTGAAAAACAAAAACCTACAATCAACCTTAGAATGTCCCTAGTACAAACCCTATTTTACAAGATAACTGAAGCTCAGAAGTGGGAAAGCAACTGACAAGGGCCCACAGCGAGTTTCCCAGATGCAGTGGGACAGGAAGGAGTCAGGTCTCCCGGTCTGGAGCCCTTCCCTCCAGACCAATGGCTCCATTAACTCTGCTATCAGTACTGCAGATAGGAGAATCATCTTCAGAAGCATGACCGTGCCCTGTGACCGGTCACCCCTGCTCTGTTCCACATCCACAGTGCATTCTGGATTCATGAGCTCCCACCCTGTGTCCAACGCTGGGGCTACTGGACACTGACCACTTTCTGAGGCTCCTACCAGCGGGGGACAGAGATTTACAAACACACCATTGTGGTCACGAGGCTTAAGTGTTATAGAAGCGGTATGAACACACGTGGATGAGGAAGAGAGAGAAGAAAATGTGTGAACTGCCTGAGAGTTGATCAGTTTCCAATTCTTTGTTTTTCTTAATGTCTTTTACCTTTTTCTTTTTTTTTTTTTAATGTGAGCCAATTCTTAAAAGGACATGGAGGAAGTCACAAAGCGCAAGTGCATGTGTGCACACACGCAGAGGAGCCACTCGGAGACTGTCTCTGTCCAAGGGGGACAATATCTGCTTCATGACTTACGGCAACTGGTATGAGAGGGTTTGCCATAAATTAAGGTTTGAGGATTACTTATAGCCTTCATGTTTCTTTCTCAGTCTTCAAGCTCGACAGCTATGGGATGGCTCCCAGGTGACAGGGGTGGGTGGTCACCAGCTTCAAGCCAACCAGGCAGATGTAAGCTTCTTACTCCTTACTGTGAGGCCTTGGGGAGGTGACTTAATCTCTCTGAACCTGTGTTTTCATCAGTAAAATGGACACAACTGCAGCCCTTCCTCACAGCATCATTATAAACATTAACACACAAAAAAAGGCTTACAACAGGATGGGCACACTGTAAGTTCTGCTTTTAGTATTATTTTCACCAACACTATTATTATACATGTTTTTTCAAATTGCAATTCCTCCCAGAAGTTTACTTAGAACTCACCAGTTTTTCCTCCTATAATAGGATTCCCAATTCATTAAATCTGGGCTACTCAAGGCAGAAGCTACGAACCAGAGGCGGCCACTTAAATTTATTAAAAATTCAGTTCCTCAGGCACATCTGCCACTTTTGCAAATGCTCAGTGGCCACACATGGCTTGTGACTATCCCACTGTACAGTGCAGGCCTAAAACATTTCCACAGCTGTTGTTTAATTATTTCATGGATAGTCTGGGTGACTATTCCTCTTAACGTAGACTCTGGCTTAACTTCTTTTTTTTTAATTTACTTATTTTATTTTTGGCTGCGTTGGGTCTTCGTTGCTGTGCGCAGGCTTTCGCTAGTTGTGGCGAGTGGGGGCTGCTCTTCATTGCGGTGCGCGGGCTTCTCATTGCGGTGGTTTCTCTCGCTGTGGAGCACAGGCTCTAGGCGCGTGGGCTTCAGCAGTTGTGGCATGTGGGCTCAGTAGTTGTGGCACATGGGCTCAGTAGTTGTGGCTCATGGGCTCAGTAGTTGTGGCTCACAGGCTTAGTTTCTCCGTGGCTTGTGGGATCTTCCCAGACCAGGGCTGAAACCCGTGTCCCCTGCATTGGCAGGCGGATTCTCAACCACAGCACCACCAGGGAAGCCCTGGCTTAACTTTAATTATTATTATTTATGTCACTTAGATCAATTCCTCTTCACGACAGCCCTGCAAGTTTGGTAGCACTAAGATCATTATTCCCATTTCAGTAAATGAGAAGACAAGGCACAAAGAGGTTAACTTGCCCACAGCTTCAAGGCAACAGCAGAGCTGGCACTTCACTATGTAATTCTGAGAGAGAAAATAGATTCACGCACAGAAATGTCCCCCTCTCACAGTCCTGGTCATTTAACCATTGCTAGGTTTCTTCCCGTGAAAGCAATAATCTTGTTTTATTCAACCTCAAATCCCCAGGGCCCACTTCGGCATCCGTAATCTGCAGAAATCGATGAATACATCTCCATGAATCCCCGCTGAAACGGTATCAGACCTGCTGGGCATCCTGTTTCCTCCACCGCTAGGAGACTTGAGCTCATGGTCCACTAAAACACCTCTCATTTTTTTAAGTCAGAAGAGTGGCTAGCCTGCAGCAGAGAATTTTAGAGCTAGAAGGTTCCTGAGACAAGATCCAAGATTTTTGCATCTAGTTGACTGGTCCTGGCTGCTGAGGGAGGGCAGAGTCTGCCAGAGACTGTGCACTCTGAAAAGGGTGCATAGTGACCAATTACCCAAGTCGCAGTGGGCAGTGGGTAGGAGAGCAGCTGTCCCTCACCACAGACCTAAACTCATTCTTTTACAGATGAGAAAATTGAGACCAGAAGGGAGCATGCCTCAGCCACACAACCACCTCCAGGCAGAGCTCGGCACTGTCCTACGGGCAACAGCCTAGGAGGGCAACACCCTCAGGCCACAGGGGCAAACAGTCCTAACGTGTGGAAAAAGAAATCCAAGGAAAATCCCCAAATCCTAGAGCACGGTATCCTATCTGGGTCACTGCCCTTGTCCCGCAAAGAGATCTGAAAAACCCACTGGAAATTTCTGCACAGGCCCACTTTGAGCTGCCCTTCTTGTCCTATGCAAATGACAGCCGCAGCAAGGCAGCTTGCTAAATGCCAAGCACACGGCGTGAGAAAAACAACAGCCTTTGTCCCCTGGGTGTGGACGCCATTCCCACTGGCCTTTTACCTGTTCTTTATTGTTATTGTTCAGTAAGCCGGGTTTCTTTTTCTTTTTAATGGGGCTTGTTGATGTGTCCTGTGGCGAGTGGCCATTGGAGGAATGCGGAGGGCTGGGGAACTTTCTTTTCTGGGCTGTTCTCTCTGTGGAGCCAGGATCTGAAAGAGACACACAGGACCACATATTTTAAAGCGATCGGGGAGGACTAGGCCCCACGGGAAGGGGGTGTTAGGGACACAACCCATTTTGTCCCCAAACCTAATGCCATTTTAGTGACCTTCCTCCTAGAATATACTCCCCCCCCACCCCCCATCTTCATTGCCTGTCTCAGAGGTCAGTTGGTCTTTCTTTAGCTGACATAATATTTCTGTAAAGGTTTTAATTCACTGCCAAAACATAAAAATTAAGAAACATCACATAATATCCTAGATTTGGGGCTTCTAGTTAAAAAAAAAAATCAGGGCCTGCAGGGCCTTACGGGACCAGATAGAGCTGAATACCAGCCAGCCACTTTTTAGATGGGAAAATGCCCCCATTTTGTCACAGTCCCCACCCTTCCCTACTGTGTCCCTGTTGACGAGGCCATGACCCAGCTGCCGTGAGCCGTCACACACCCATGTCTGATGGCAAAAGCAGGAAACCATAAGAGACAGACCAAGAAAAGAAGGCCACACACTTCAAGAAAATGAAGGCAAACATACTTTGTGGTGGAAGACAACATTTATTCATGTTTATCAGGTTAAAAAAAGTATAACTGTGTAAAAATATACCCCACCCACCAGAGTCCCCGTGGCCCAGTCACCAGTAGGCATCATGTTTGCGACACTCCTCCAAAGAGTTCAACGCAAACTACATTCTCACCAGATTCTCATCTGAAAAATGCCAACCCCACCCTTGCCAATCCATTCCTTTCTATTTTTATTCTCCCAGCATCTCATTAAAACACATACACTTGGGACTTCCCTGGCGGCGCAGTGGTTAAGAATCCTCCTGCCAATGCAGGGGACACAGGTTTGAGCTCTGGTCCAGGAAGAGCCCACATGCCGCGGAGCAACTAAGCCTGTGTGCCACAGCTACTGAGCCTGCGCTCTAGAGCCCGCGAGCCCAACTACTGAGCCCGCGTGCCACAACTACTGAGCCCGCGTGCCACAACTACTGAGCCCGCGTGCCACAACTACTGAAGCCCACGTGCCTAGAGCCCACGCTCCACAAGAGAAGCCACTGCAATGAGAAGCACACACACCGCAACGAAGAGTAGCCCCCGCTCACCGCAACTAGAGAAAGCCCATGCGCAGCAGCTAAGACCCAACGCAGCCAAATATAAATAAATTTATAAAAAACAAAAAATATAGATTATTGCAATAAAAAAAAAACATACACATACACTTCCACCACCATCCAATCTTCACCTGCGAAGATTTTAATCCATTCCATGCCAGATGGCTGCCCTGTTAGCTTAGGGAGGATACAATGGAATGCCCAGGGGCACCTTCTATTCTTGAGGAATGAAAGCTACAGGCACCAGAAGAGGAGAAAGCTATGCCGAGAGCACAGGTGATGAGACGGGATGCGGAGTCCAGAAAGATGACTATCCACAAAGATGGCCTGATGACGTTCCCCGTGCAGGGTTACCTCTCAGGCAAGTCCCAGCACACAGGCTGTGCTGTGTGTCACAGCCCTTTGTCTGCACAGGAGCCGCTGGGGTAAGATCAACAGGGTCCAAGATGGCCACATGCAAGGCCTCCTAGTGGTTTACTTTTGACTGAAAGCTGGAGCATCCTCCAGCAGGCTCATAAAGACAATGGACCACTTTTGCAAAATCCAAACTACACAAGGGAATTCCCCAGGCTCACCACGCACACTGCAAGAAAATCCTGAACAAATGTTCAGGTTGCTGCACTGAGACACAACCCCGAGAGGAAATTAAATGCTAACCACAGACACCTTGAGGGAGAAGAGACCCCAGAGTCAGGGGACCATCCCACAGACATCAAAACAACGGCCTGGAGAACCCAAAGGGTTGGCCCAGCAGCACACAACAGCTAGTTAGTGGGAAAATGCACTAAAAAGATGCAGCCTGGGATTGGCAAGCTTCCCCAGAGAGCACCTCCTCTCATTCCCACAGGGATCCTCACCCCACTTCCCCACCGTACGTAAAAACTCTCTTTCTCTATAGGGTCTTTGACCCAACCATCTCCTCCTAGAAGCACGTTCTATAGACATGGTCACAGGGGAGCAAAGCACGTGCAAGATGATTCAACTGCAGCACTGTGTGTTATACTGAAGACTAGAAAGGACTTACGTGTCCACAAACTGGGAGCTGGCCTGATAACATACTGCAGGATACAGCCATGAAGAAGAATGAGGCACCTCTAGACAAACTGACGTATGACAATCTCCAAGCTTCTGCATCAGGTTAAAAGAGCAACACATGAAAATACCAATGGCATTCTTCACAGAACTAGAACAAATAATTTTAAAATTTGTATGGGAACACAAAAGACCCCGAATAGCCAAAACGACCTTAAGAAAGAACAGCGCTGGAGGAATCATGCTCCCTGACTTCAGATTATACTACAAAGCCACAGTAATCAAAACAGTATGGTATTGGGACTTCGCTCGTGGCACAGTGGTTAACAATCCGCCTGCCAATGCAGGGGACACGGGTTCGAGCCCTGGTCTGGGAAAATCCCACATGCCGCGGAGCAACTAAGTCCATGTACCACAACTACTGAGCCTGTGCTCTAGAGCCTGCGAGCCACAACTACTAAACCCACGTGCCTAGAGCCCGTGCTCCGAAACAAAGAGAAGCCACCACAATGAGAAGCCCACACACCACAATGAAGGGTAACCCCCGCTTACCGCAACTAGAGAAAGCCTGCGTGCAGCAATGAAACCCAACGCAGTCAGAAATAAAATAAATAAATAAATTTATCAAAAAAAAAAAAAAAAAAAGGCAATGCATGTCTAGCACCATTAACAGACTAACACACACAGCCCAAGAAATATGGGGGTTTTGTCTTTCTCTTTTTTTTTGTCTTTATCTGTTTTATTTCTGTTTTATTTTGTCTTCTGTTTTATTTTGTCTTCTATTTCTGTTTTATTTTGTCTTCTATTTTTTTCCTTTTTTAAATTTTTTTTGAAAAAGATGTTTTATATATATTCATAATTTACATAAGCCTAAAATATTCCTGGTGGAACACAAGAAATACAAGCTCTTAATGGAGACTGGTGGTTGCCTCAGGGGAGGAAAGCTTGCAAAGTGTGGGGGAGGGATTATTTTCCACCATGTGCCCTTATTTATCACGTGCCTGGACTACTTTATCAAAGTAAGGAAAATTAAAAAGGAAATATTTAGAAGGTTCAGCATCACATAAGAAAGCAGCAGGTGCAAACCAAAGCCAGTAATGAGCAAATGACAGAGACCTGATTCAGGATAAAAAATGTCGCCAAATGGACAAACTTGGGGCTGATCAGCGTGAGCGTGCAGACCCCAGGAAGGAGTTTGGGATTTGTTCTACGTGGATCTAATAAACCCAGATAACTCTGCTCAAGTGTCAGAGGATGGGCATTTAAGAAAAGCGTTTTGGGGGCTCAAAGGAGATGTGTCCCAGAAGAAATGGCACCCTAGCCAGGCAAAAAGGGAAAGCCATTGGGCCAAGGTTTTGATTTCGCATGTATTATTCCGTTTGTGGACAGACTGAAAGAGAGCACGTGAGCAACGTCAGGCCAGTGGAAAGCTAGGAACAAATTCAGGGAAAAAACAAGTAATGCTGACCCTTGAACAACACAGGGGTTTGGGCCTCAACCTCCACACAGTCGAAAATCCACGTACTGCTATCTCTGCCTCAAAAACAAAGGAACTGATGAAGGACTCACCCAAGGGTGGGAAGCCAAGCAGTCTGGACAGAATCAAGACTCAAACCCTAGTTTTTTGTGATTCCACATACTGTGGTCTGTAATCAAACACAAACTTTCCCCTACACTTAAAGACTGGTCAAATGAAAACACAGGTACTCTATTTACTGAAAAAAATCCCAGTGTCAGTGGACCAGAGCAGTTCCAACACATCTTCTTCAAGGGTCAACTGTAGTGTTGTCGATGTTTCTCAACAGAGCACTAGTGGATTTTGGCAGGGACGGCTCCTCCTCGTTGCCAGGACAACCTCAGCCCCCTCCCACCCACTGCCATTGATGCTCCCAAACACTGTGACAACCAAAAGTGCCTCACATACTTCCCAATCCCTCCCAGGAGTGGCACTAGCCTCCTGGAGCGCCGCAGAGCTGGAGCATGGGGCACAGTGGACAAAACCCACAGCCCCGGCCCACACCTGGTCGACCCCTGGGGCCAGAAAGCTTCTCCAGCTCCTCCCACTGCAGTATAAGTCATTCACCTGTGGCTGAGATCTCCTAGGATGACGGTTCCCCAAGTGCTGTCCTCACACAAGCAGCAGCAGCCATCACCTACGAATTTGCTAGAAAGGCACATTCTCAGGCTCCACGCCAGATCTACAGAATCAGAAACTGGAATAGGGCCCAGTGATCAGGGGGTTTAACCAGCCTTCTGGAGGATTAAGGTGCACACTAATTCGAGATGCTCTAGGTTGTATGTTTGGGGGATGGAGTGTGAGTTCTCCAGCCTAGAGACTCCTGCTGATCTCCCCTTCCTCATCGCACTACCTGTAGGGCTGGTTCAGAACCCAGGAAGCGAAAGCCAAGCAAGGAGCCAAGGAGAAAGAATGAAAACAGCTAAACACATGACCCCAGGCGACTCCCCATACTTCTCAGGGCCTCAGGGACACACCTGTAAAATGGGAGGAGAGATGGAGAAAAGGAACAGACCAGTTCTTACCTGGAGCCCATGAAAATGCTTCAGGGCCCCACGATCCACATGCCAAGGTTCTGTACGTGGACTCAGTTTCTTGGGAAGAGGGGCCATAGCCCCCTTCGCCTTCTCACAGGAGACATCAACTCTAAAGATTAAAAAACTACAGGGCCAGAGGATCGTAAAGTCTATTTTAACTTTGCAATTCTTTAATTCCATGTGAAAGCGGGGCGGGGGGAATCCCTAGAAATGAATATACTCATAAGACACTGAGCGCTAAGGAGAAAGTTTTACCTAAGGCCACCAGGAAACGAAAGGGCAGCAGGGTCTAACA